CTTCGAGACTAGCCCGGTACCAAGAAAATTACTGATTTTGTATATAACTGGCCCATTATGAATATTAATATAAATATAATTAAATATAACGGCCATTTATTTTCTTTTTTCAAAATTTTTATTTAGGGGGTGGAATTGGAAGAGTAGTTTAGTTTCTGTTCAATTCAGTTCACAAAGTCAGCGAGCCCGCGGAGGCATGAGGCTTGGTCAAGAGTGCGCGGATTTGATCCCTGAATCACGTGCGTGAGAGCGGCGCCACTTACCGCAACTCCACTTGGCCTTCCTATCCTTCTCATACTACATGCCTATTTAAATTATCTTTTGCGTTATCCCCGATGTCTCGCAGGACTTTTAAGTTGCCTAAGCTCAAAATTCGTCCAGCTGTAGTACCTGAGGGCTTGAAAAGCATGAAAAACAATTAGAAAATCTGAAATGGACAAACAACCAAAGAATCTGATCCAAGTGAATTGATTGGGTCATCTATGTGGTCCAAAAAGAGAAGGCGCGAGCTTAGAGAGGTATGACCTGTGAAGCCCTCGGGACTCAATTTAAGGTAAGCGGATGAAGTGCAGACAAGCCTGGCCCAAGTCTAAGCAACCTTGGAAATTTTTGGAGGATCCTTACTGGCCGGCTTCCAGGGATCCAACCCTAGGCGCTACACTCTGACCCTAGATATGTTTAAAATTCTCTCAAAAACGGAGAAGTTGGTCTGGAAGAGAAATCGCTCGCTATAACGAAACTATCATTCATTTGCAATTCTCTTCTCTACTCATAATTCTTCACCCACGAGTTTCTCAGGTTCAGCGGGTGCAAGTGCCCGAGTCACCTGCTTTCTGATTTTCTTCAGCGGCTGTGTTCAAATTCTGGTCCCGATGCACCTGAGAATCCTATCCTCAGAACCGAAGACGCTCCAAGGGTGTAACAATAGGGAAGCTTCATGGTTGGCAGTAAATCGTATCACTGGGTGGTATTGCGGCGATGATCTTATGAAAAGATATCAATTATGAACGCCTTTGATCGGCGTCATTGGTGCGGTTTTTACCTGGACATTTATCCTTTGAAAACGCGCCGTTGATGGGTTTCATGCCATCCCGTTATTCAAAGCCACATGTGATTATATGAATACGGCAGCAGTAGTTCTTGACTGGTATTAAAGATACTCATTTCCGCAGTCATTTATCTACCATCAAACGCCCAACCCATCGAACGGACAGCTTTTCTCGTGCATCCGCTGGATACCTTCCAATGGCTTGCACAGCCGATCAGGAGAAGCGAATTGCTGCTTAAAGCCAGGGATGACGATAAGATAGGGTTAAGTTCATAGTGGAAGTGGGGATGCTGAAGAATGCCCCAGTGGCGAAAAAGACGGAGGCGGAGCTCAGGACAGCCCCACGGCACTGAACTAGCGCGTCTGGCCACCAGAAGGCCACATACCGCCTCCTGAAAGGCAAGAATCAGGATTAAATTGATGGGGTGATTCCACTCAAATGTGAAAGTAGGGAGGAGGTGGACCGCCAGTGGAGAAAAAAGGAAAGAAAATCCTGAACACAGGAAATACGAGCATTTTGCTCTATGCTGCGGAGAAGTTCAAAAGGCAGGCAGGGAGATGAGAGATAATGTGAGCGCGGAGAGCGGTAGAGAAGTCCGAGAAGAGAGAGCATAGCAGATCAACGCAGCGACGCAGACAAGATATCGAACGGTGGGCGGACCATGTTAAGTTTGGTGGAGTCTGTTAGAAGTCCATGGCGCCTAGGGTCCTAGTGACGCGTTTCGATGTAGAAAGGTGGCGCTACCTTTGCACTTGCGTACCCAGCACTTCTAGCCATGGTAAGGGCTTCTTAGGTGGGTCTGACTTTGCTTCCACTGCTGCAAGTACTTCCATGCTTGAGCACACAATTTATCGTAATCTCTCGCGTTAAGAATGGAGACAAAGGGCAAAGCATTAAAATAAATAGTTATAGCGTTGGTCACTGAGGTTGGTTCGCGCCGTGCACACAATTCCATTCAGAATTGTGGAGCCGTTCTTCGGATACGGACATGGTTTCCAGATTTCTATCGAATCAAACCTGATAATGCTGGTAATGATGGCTTCTAATAAAAGCTTTGTGGCTATCATAAAGATTGGAAAGTTTGGTTAATCCAGTCAGGATTCGATCCAAAAACGTCTTTGTGTGGGTTAAGGGCCCCACCCTATTCTAAATTCAACTTCTACCTCTACCCTATTCCGCCTCCGCCGGCATGATGATAATAAAGGCGAAAAAGAGATGACTCACTTGAACGCATACGAGCTTTTCTCGAACATTCGTTTCCGATCGTTGATGGTGAACTCGAGTGTGCCACGATTGCAGTCCAACTTCACACCAATAACGCTGCCTGAACACTTCTTACAAAATATGAGTCATCATTTTTCCTTCGAAAATTGTATTAATTTTTCAAAGAGAGCGGAGGTATTAATTTAAAGTGATGTTGACGTAAAAAGAAATAGCACTCCTTCTCGGACCCAGGTCTAACGATTCGTATAGCATGAGGGGCGAAATAGCTGGTACCCAAACGCTTATAAATGACTGACTATAAAATGGCTGAAACGACCGATTGCTGCAATCAAAAAGCCGATTGAGTGGCTTTAGATATTGGCAAGAAAGCTCTAGGTCCATGGAAACACCTTAGGTCAGTTTTCGTAACTTGAATCCTTAATGCGCGAACTTTATGAAAAAGAGAAATACCATGGGCGCCTTCGAAAGAACGGTGATCTATTTTAGTTCTAAAAAGTCTATGATGATCCGAAATTGAGATGCAGATCGGTCTCTAGGGGAGAGTGAAGGGAAAAGAAGTCTATTAGGGTTGTGAAACAAGGCTCCCTTCTGACTGCTCACGAACAAAGAGGTATGAAATGCAAGCTAGAAAATAAGATAATCAAGCCGGCTAGAACCTTCTCATCCGGCCGACATGGCGATCTTACCCATGTTGTCATTCACGTTCCAAGAACACCACTTTGGTATCCCTAGGGCGTTTTCACAACGACAACGCTACAGGCTATTTTTGCTAGGGAATCAAAGAAGCTCCGTCCTAATATGTGCAGACTTAGTTTGTTAAGTAGATTTTAGTGTCCTCCAGTCTCGTTGGTAACATTTCAACCGAGCAGGACTGCGTAGGCGAAATTTCACTGTCTAAGGGAAAAGAGCCTTTGAAACGTGATGTGACCACACTCCCAAGAATGCCCAACGCACTCTATCTGAAAGAAAGTTTACCCAGCCCAGAGTAAAAGTGTTCGAAGAATACCTCTTCAGTGAATATTTCTAAAGAATCTCGGCTGGAGCTTCACATCGTTGGCCGAAACTGCTCCACTGCGCATGGAAAAAATGTGTAGGTTTGGGTGGTGGGTTTAATTCATAACAATTCATCAGGGTTCCAAATTTTCATGGCAAAACACGAAAACATGACACATCTGAGCCCCATCTGAGTTCCGACTAAGGCATAGCGCCCTTTATCGTACCGATCCCCAATGACGCATTGACGGTGGAGGAAGAGGGGGATGCGAGTAGCATATACAGGGATGGCGAATCGATTTGACATCGCCTTTATGCGTGATGCGAGTTTAGCTCCTGTGGCAAGCACACACTCTTTCCGAAAAAAAATACCCTTGCTGCGCGACGAATGTCTGAACCCTGGTCTTTGCTGGATGCAAACTGCATTCACCTAATTCTTGTAGTTACTTTCGGCAGAAGGGAAGCGTACATGACACCAGCGGGCTCCTTTCATTACTTTGTGTGCTTTCTACTGTTCGTTTCATAAGGTCTTATAGAAGAACGTACCTTTCCCTATTCCTCCAACTATTCGACTGTGATGCGTTTCATTGTGCAAGTACCACGACCTCTCGTTATCCACATACATTGACCATCCGTGAAGATCTTTGCCTGAAATCAATAAGCATTCTTTTCGTGGAGATGTCGAAATAGGGGTAATGTGCATGCGTTTTTGGGAAAAGTTCATTGTTCAAGCAATTTCCACGTAGAGGGAAGCGGTCACGAAAGTGGAAATGGCTAATGTGTGTCGTATAAATCGGGATCAGGAACTATAAAGAGAGTAGCGCTTTGCGGAGGCTCTTTCGACCTTATTT